TATTAATGTCAAAGACACTGACAGAGGTTATGTCATTTTGTGTCTATATGTTGATGATATGCTCATTATAGGTAGTAACGATGAAATGATCAAAACTACCAAGAAGTTGTTAAACTCTAAATTTGACATGAAGGATATGGGCATTGCAGATGTTATTTTGGGAATTAAGATTACCAGAATCTCTGGCGGAATTGTACTTTCTCAGTCTCATTATGTTGATAAGATACTTGAGAAGTTTAGTGGACCAGATACGAGTGTGTCATCGACACCTGTAGACTTAAGTCTACACTTTACCAAGAATAATAAAAAGAGTGTCTCTCAATTAAAATATTCTCGGGTAATTGGAAGTTTAATGTATCTGATGAGTTGTACTAGGCCAGATATAGCTTACTCGGTTAGCAGGCTTAGTAGATACACAAGTAATCCTAATGCTTCTCATTAGAAGGGCATTGTGCGGGTGTTAAGGTATTTACGCTACACTCGGGATTATGGGCTGCATTATACTCGATATCTAGCGGTGCTTGAAGGATATAGTAACGCGAATTGGATATCAGATATAAAGGACTCAAAGTCCACTAGTGGATATGTGTTCACTCTTGGTGGGGGCAACCGTGTCTTGGAAATCTTCCAAGCAAACGTGTATATCTAGATCAATGGTGGAATCAAAGTTTATTGCTTTGGATAAAGCAACGGAAGAAGCTGAATGACTTCGCCATTTCATTGAAGATATTTCACGTTGGTCTAAACCTGTGCCAGCTATTTGTATTCATTATGATTGTCAATCTGCAATTGGTAGGGCACAGAATAATATGTATAATGGAAAGTCTAGACATATCCGTCGTAGACATAATTCCATACGACTACTACTCTCGAATGGAGTTGTCTCTTTAGACTATGTAAAGTCTAAGGACAACATTGCGGATCCGCTAACCAAAGGGTTAAGTCGAGTGTTAGTCGAAACGTCGTCAAAAGGAATGGGGTTAAGGCCTTTGGAAGTTACCGGAATGGAAACCCAACCTAGTTGACTGGAGATCCCAAGATCTAGGTTCAATGGGACAACCTAATTGCATGTAACGGTGGTATGTCACTGAGGAGGTTAAACTTCCTTCCATTCCTTCTATCAGTGATACCTGCAAGTGTAGAGGATAAGCTGAGCTTTTAATGACTCTTATGTGTTAAGTTGTTGAGCTAAGTATTGCAGGATACTTTAGTAGAGTCACCTATGTGAGTTTGAAGTGGGACCACTTCTAGAAGAATTGGGCAGGCCAAGATTCTTTGAAACCACTCGCTGAACCAGGCTAGTGTCCAGGGCCACACAGGGCACACCAGTGAGAACATAATGGTGGTAGGAGTAATTCCCGTGTGAGATCTATTGTCTCAGTTTACATAAACGGTAGAGCAGTTCAAGATGTCTTATTCACTGATCTGCCAGTAAACTCGATAGGTTTTCACTGGGAGAGGTTCAAAGCCAAAAGCTACCTTCTCTGATGTCGAGGTTAGTCCGTTGTACTCTCTCTCAGAGTCTTTATTGTTGAACGATGTCTGTTTGTTGAGTCATTCGGTCAATTTTTATTCATGTGGAGGATTGTTAGAAAAAATGATTTTTGGAGACTTTAATTTAATATTAAAGTGTGGTGACTTTAATTAAATATTAAAGTGGGTCCTAACCATTTTTTGTGTTGGGTCCAAGTGAGCCAAAAACCATTGGGTTTTGAATAAGAAATTGCCAAGAAATTGCTTCATGATGTTAGATTCATGAATAGGATTTTAAAGAGTATTTAAATCTTTTTTCTTGGCTAAAGGGGGTGAATCCTTTAGGCATCCATACTTTTCATTTTGTGGAAAGGGGCTATGGATGCTTAGTGTTTTAATAACTAGCCTTAAAGGCTGGAGGCTCTTCCTCTCTCCCCTATACATGTATAAATTGAGACCCTCCTGTCAAGTTTCAATATAGAAATTTTTGCTTCTATTTTACAAGTCAGTTTGCCAGATAGTTCCTATTGTGAGAGAGTGCTGCCATTGTTTTGTTCACTAAGCTAGACAGATCGTGCTTCTGCCATAACTGGTTTTGACCGTCGTATCCTGGGAGACAGACGCTGGGTTTCCTCAAGCACTCGACCCGTGAGGCAGCGAAATCTGTTTTAAGGAAACTGCTTCCGTGCAGGCTTCGGTTTCGTCTCTTTACCCTTTTATTGTTTCGTGTATTTCTGTTGAAATTTAATTGTAATTATCAGCATATATTCTTGGTATATAATTTGATTTCTTCATAAATTTATTTATTTAATTTCGCAATTTTGTACAACAAAAGTAGCTCACTTGGAAACTATAATTAATTGGCAGTGAGCAAGTGCGGCCTCCACCAAATCAGCTCAGAGTTCCGCAAAGCCTAAAGATAAAAAACAACAATAGATAGAAATGTAAATCTATTTTATTATAAGCACAACTGCATAAGAAGAAACACTTAAAGAACCGTATCATCTAGTTCATGTAATTCTCATCATTAGACTACCCAACCAAGCCAATGCATCAGATAGATAATATTGATCCAAAATTGATGAATAACAATGATGAAAGCATCTAACCATTCCTGTACATATGTTCCTCCATTAAGTTCGGTGAAATTTTACACAGTAACAGCAGAAAATAAAAAAACATAGAAGATTTGACTTCTATCAAAGCAGAAATACCTTCCTCTGGATTTGAAAACTTGGTTAAATTTTGAGCACAGGCAACAGACATTCTAGCAGCTCTTGACTCAAATGCTTCCAATATTGCACTAGGCTTTAACCAATCCTCAGCTGCATGTCATCAAAGAAGACAAAGAATACAAGTGAAGAGATGTGAATGCAAATCGAGACCATTGTCTCTTGGACTAGTGATTTGTTAAGGTGTCTTGTGTAGTTGACAGTTCAAATTACAATCGAGTATTACATGATTGTGGTTTAATAACTTCTTAAGGCAACAATAAATGGTTATATGTAAATTGTCACACCTAGGTCGCAGAACACTGTTTCAACCTTCTCGCTCCTGAAAGCTCAAATAAGAGGAAATAATCAGCACACTCAAAAAAGGACCAAATACCTCTTTGAACATTGGAACGGCATTGCATTAGATGCTCAATTTGTCCCATATAAGATGTTGTACCAGCTGGTTTCTTGCCAGACCCGAGCTGGGAAGCAGTCTTCATGAGAAACCTTGCAACCTACAGAAGAAAGGCACATGAGCAGATGTGATGGAATAACCCAGTTGCAATCTACCACATATTAATACCCAAATGCTCAACTGGTATACACTGAAACCTAGTAGTTTAAACCTATCCAAACTCCAGTCATGGGAGTTTGGATTATAACATTATTCAGCTATCTATCTAGTGACTTAAAACAGTAGTAGATACAATAGCAAGAAAATACCAGTGCAAATGCAACCAAGATAATTCCAAGACATATTTATCAAGGCAGATTGAATTGACTGAAATTTCAACAAAATATTTCATATGATTCCCTCTTTCTTAGTAAGTTCTACAATCTACTGTCTATCCAAAGAAATAAAATGCAAAATAGAAGTCAAAATTTCAATTCCAGAAACCAAAGTTCAGCATGAAGATTGATGAATTTCAGATTCTATAAGCAATGCTCAGATATAAAACACAATTATGATACTGTGGAAGATCTCTACTGATATCCATATCACCAATCCCCTGCTTACTAAAACTATAAATTGAACGCAGATCTTGTTTCCAAATAGTACTACTGCTGCAGCAAGTTAAGTTCATTCAATACCGTATCTCAAGACCTTCATATCAAGAATAAAAGAGAAATCAAAACAATTAAAAACAATGTTAAAAGTAAGTCATATCACGTACCTGTAAAAGAAGCACAATATTGTCTCCTTCATATGTACAGGCAGGGACATAAACGGCAAATAATTCAGGAAGCCCACTGGTACAAAGGTAGCCATGGCCGCCACATAATTTTCGGCACTCTTCAATACCATCCTGCGACAAACATGAGTGGTAAACCATTATGAAGTATTTATTTATCACTATTGCAGGCTATACATGAAATAAACAAACTAAGTGGAGGGAGTGGCTCATAAAATACATACCCTAGTTGCAGAATGAGTAATTTTAATAGAACACAAATCAGTTTCATACATTTTTTAATTCTTAAGATACAATGGTTCAGTTTGTTATCACATATTTGCCTAGAAATAAATGAACTTCCGTAGGAAATACAAAAATCTAGGGTTAAATGAGTTCTAAATGAGTCAAAGACTAATTACGAATACACTATCAAAATAACGAAAGACAAACAAAGAATTCGTCATTGGAAATGATATTTTATGAAGTTGCAATGAGTAACCAAACATTTGGAACTGTCTGCTACAACGGTCTGACACAACCATACAGTGTCTCCTATCCCATTTTTAATTTTATTTATCAGTTTATTTTTTTCTGTTTTGTTACTCTCTCCAAACTCAAGTTGGTTAGTTCCTACCCTCCTTGAGTTTGCGGGGGGCTGTTAACATATAATATACTTTCATATAATGCCTTAGTAGCTGTAAATGTACATCACAGTGCATTAGGAGCTGTAAAGCCAACACCCACTACCACTTTCAGCTTTAGATTCCACTTTGATATTATTGTAATATATTACCTTATGGCTTCGTACTCCATTGTATCCTTCTGCTCTCTATAAAGAGAGAGACCTAATTCTCTTGTAAATATCATTATACACATCAATCTTGTAATATACACAATCAATCATAATACATACAATTTCTCTCTATATCAATTTATCTTACACAAACTATACTCCAAACCACCATGCTATCCTAATCCACCATGCTCAGACTCAGACAAAAACTCCTTTAACCCAAGCACCCTCTCACCAGGGCATCACAACAGCTGCAGATCAACAATACAACTGCAGTACATGAGAGCAAAATTTCAGACGTATCAGTCGGACAGGTACCTTTATTAGCAATACATGAAAGTGAAATTTCAGATGTATCAGTCGGACGAAGTTCTTTCAGAGTCTGGCAGTACAGAGATTTTGCTTCAGTAATGGGCGGATGTTTTCATGGTAGCCCTCAGGCACAACTGAATCATTCAGAGGATCTTCCCATGCTGCCTCGTAGAGTTTCGGATATACATTTCCGTCATAGCAGCCAAGTATCGAGCCAAGGAAGTGGTTAGTGTAGTTAAATGCATCAACAAGAGCAATTGCATTTGGACGAACCTAAAGACAAAACATGAATTTGAAGCTAGTAAGCAAACTGGCAGTTTCAAATCAAGCTGCGTTAAAAAGGGTAGTAGTTAAAGCTGAATTATTGGGACAAACCTGAGAATACAAAGATCGGAGCTGATCATTTGCAAGTGAAGCCTGCTTGGCAGTGATGCAGCCGGTGGAGAGAAAATCACCTTGATGCTTGTGAAGAAGGAAGAGTGCATAGATGTTACAGAGCGCCTCTAATTGTTCTCTGACCCCCTTTCCAGGAATGTCTTGTAGCAATTTCTCGATGAACCTGAATGGGAAGAAATTTTCTTATTTCCACATTAAAAATAAAAAAATAAAAACAGAAAGGTAGAAGAACAAGAAAACAATTTTCCTTGAGCATTCATCTCTAGCGGAGATAGCTGAAGCAAAGATATTGTTGAGTTCTCAGATCTAAAATTAACAGGAGAGAAAAAGTAGCTCACTTGGAAACTATAATTAATTGGCAGTGAGCAAGTGCGGCCTCCACCAAATCAGCTGAGAGTTCCGCAAAGCCTAAAGATAAAAAACAACAATAGATAGAAATGTAAATCTATTTTATTATAAGCACAACTGCATAAGAAGAAACGCTTAAAGAACCGTATCATCTAGTTCATGTAATTCTCATCATTAGACTACCCAACCAAGCCAATGCATCAGATAGATAATATTGATCCAAAATTGATGAATAACAATGATGAAAGCATCTAACCATTCCTGTACATATGTTCCTCCATTAAGTTCGGTGAAATTTTACACAGTAACAGCAGAAAATTAAAAAACATAGAAGATTTGACTTCTATCAAAGCAGAAATACCTTCCTCTGGATTTGTAAACTTGGTTAAATTTTGAGCACAGGCAACAGACATTCTAGCAGCTCTTGACTCAAATGCTTCCAATATTGCACTAGGCTTTAACCAATCCTCAGCTGCATGCCATCAAAGAAGACAGAATACAAGTGAAGAGATGTGAATGCAAATCGAGACCATTGTCTCTTGGACTAGTGATTTGTTAAGGTGTCTTGTGTAGTTGACAGTTCAAATTACAATCGAGTATTACATGATTGTGGTTTAATAACTTCTTAAGGCAACAAAAAATGGTTATATGTAAATTGTCACACCTAGGTCGCAGAACACTGTTTCAACCTTCTCGCTCCTGAAAGCTCAAATAAGAGGAAATAATCAGCACACTCAAAAAAGGACCAAATACCTCTTTGAACATTGGAACGGCATTGCATTAGATGCTCAATTTGTCCCATATAAGATGTTGTACCAGCTGGTTTCTTGCCAGACCCGAGCTGGGAAGCAGTCTTCATGAGAAACCTTGCAACCTACAGAAGAAAGGCACATGAGCAGATGTGATGGAATAACCCAGTTGCAATCTACCACATATTAATACCCAAATGCTCAACTGGTATACACTGAAACCTAGTAGTTTAAACCTATCCAAACTCCATTATAACATTATTCAGCTATCTATCTAGTGACTTAAAACAGTAGTAGATACAATACTTTAACTCATAGCAAGAAAATACCAGTGCAAATGCAACCAAGATAATTCCAAGACATATTTATCAAGGCAGATTGAATTGACTGAAATTTCAACAAAATATTTCATATGATTCCCTCTTTCTTAGTAAGTTCTACAATCTACTGTCTATCCAAAGAAATAAAATGCAAAATAGAAGTCAAAATTTCAATTCCAGAAACCAAAGTTCAGCATGAAGATTGATGAATTTCAGATTCTATAAGCAATGCTCAGATATAAAAACACAATTATGATACTATGAAAGATCTCTACTGATATCTATATCACTAATCCCCTGCTTACTAAAACTATAAATCAATGGGAATTCTGGGCATTCAACACAAGAAGGCAGATCTTGTTTCCAAATAGTACTACTACTGATATCTATATCACTAATCCCCTGCTTACTAAAACTATAAATCAATGGGAATTCTGGGCATTCAACACAAGAAGGCAGATCTTGTTTCCAAATAGTACTACTGCTGCAGCAAGTTAAGTTCATTCAATATCGTATCTCAAAACCTTCATATCAAGAATAAAAGAGAAATCAAAACAATTAAAAACAATGTTAAAAGTAAGTCATATCACGTACCCATAAAAAAAGCACAATATTGTATTCTTCATATGTACAGGCAGGGACATAAACGGCAAATAATTCAGGAAGCCCACTGGTACAAAGGTAGTCATGGCCGCCACATAATTTTCGGCAGTCTTCAATACCATCCTGCAACAAACATGAGTCGTAAACCATTATGAAGTATTTATTATCACTATTGCAGGCTATACATGAAATAAACAAACTATGTGGAGGGAGTGGCTCTTAAAATACATTCCCTAGTTGCAGAATGAGTAATTTTAATAGAACACAAATCAGTTTCATACATTTTTTAATTCTTAAGATACAATGGTTCAGTTTGTTATCACATATTTGCCTAGAAATAAATGAACTTCCGTAGGAAATACAAAAATCTAGGGTTAAATGAGTTCTAAATGAGTCAAAGACTAATTACGAATACACTATCAAAATAACGAAAGACAAACAAAGAATTCGTCATTGGAAATGATATTTTATGAAGTTGCAATGAGTAACCAAACATTTGGAAACTAAAAGATAGATTGATACATCCCAAGTACCATGAAGATGTCGTGTTAGAGCAGCCTAAGGAGGAAGAAGCTACAGGTCTGCTGCAGAAACTCTAGTTTCCAACAAAATTCATAGCCATTGGATCATTGTAGAAAGAGATGCACTGTTTCTCATACTCTCTCCTAATAAGGAAAGCCTCATAAATTGAGCTGAGCTACTAATCATTTGCCACAAAAGAAAAAAAATACATCCACAACAAATGCAGCTCATATGAGAGGTCCAACATGTGGTAACAGTCAATTTAAAAGGGGAAAAAAAGTAAAGCCAAGTTGTCAAACAATATAAATCAGTGAAACTGAAGAGTCAAAACATCCTGCTTCTGAGACAATAGTCTCAAGAGTCGCAGAAACGAAAGGAATAGGGAATCTAGATATAGAAAGGTCAGCTGAGCAAGTGTCAACAGATGATCTGTTTATTGATACAAGTCTAAAACAAAGGGCATCAAAATTAAGTGCCATGGAGTGAAGGGGATGATTTTGAATGAAATAGAATTGTAAAACTTCCTTCCAGTAGAAATTAAGAGGCAAAATTATAATTTAAGTTTGATAAATGCTACTATATATTGGTCAATCTTAACCAAACCTACCAGTAGCAAAGCTTAAGGTACTGGTATATATGTGAACATGAGTGTCATTCCGTGTCCCAAATTGCCACATTTTTAATAGGGAAAAGTCATCAATCAAACTTGTGAATGTCATTCAAAGCTAGTTCTGATCGACGGATGAGTGTCACCATCAGAATCATTATCATCAGATTATCCAACAAGATTTGAAGAGTTTCTTAGGTTGCTAAATGACTTGAGACACTATGATACCTTCTATAGAAAAAATTATTTTATCCCTTCAAACTATCATTTTTATACTACTTTAATCTTTTGAATTATCAATTTGAATGGCTAAATTATTGATAGTAGTTCATTTCATTCTAAATCATGAACATCGATACAAAAAAATAGGCTTGAATCTCGACTCATCAAGACAAGCACACGTGCCTAACCCATTGGCCTATCAAGGTCAAACCCAGTTGATAAGAGAGCTTGAGCTTAAGGTTTTAGTTCACAGAGTTTAACTCGTCAGAAAAAGCTCCTTGGGCTTTTTTTTTGATAAGTGGAAACCATGTCCCAAGTGGGGACTTTTAGGCCCTCCCTAGGAGGGCAAACGGGAGAGGCCAATAAAAGTGAACATGAGTTGGGCATATTAAGGAAAATTCATTGACCAACTAGGCTAGCCGTCTGGGGTAAAAGCTCGTTGGCTTAGCTCACAAGTAAACGTGGACACCATTTTCACAGCCCGGTAGGCCCGTTAGCCCATCTAGGCCAAGCTTGTTGGAAAAGACTTGGACCTAAGATTTTGGCTTACGGCTTTGCCTAATCTGTCAAAAAAACTTGTTGGGCTTAATCTGCAAACAGGCTTGGACATCATTTTTGTAGCCCAACCCGTCCTGACCCAGGCAGATGCTAAATCTTAATCAAGCGTTCAATACTTCTCGATAAGCTCGAATCCAAATCTCCCTCTAGAAATCCATAATTACACCGTTCAAATTCATATTCACTATTTCAATCTGGTTCAAAGGAACCAAAGGGATGATCTACACAATTGTTCTCTAAGCAGTATCTGGCATTGACATTTAGGACATTACTTCATAACTTTTTAGGATGTTTACACATATAGAAACTTTGAAAAATGGACAAGGACCTGTGTGTGCTTATTTAATTTATTTTAAGAGTTTTACAAGAAAATGGGTTTGTAGAAACCTTATTATGCCAATCCCAATTAGCATTACAGACACAGATAGTAACTCAAGACAATTCAACAGCACCTTCACTTGACAACAAAACCTTTATAATAAAAAATAAAAAAAATAAAAACATTCAATTCAAATAGATGATCTATTAATACACCCATAACACCAAGGATCCTCTAAAGGATTTTTTTCCTAAAGTTTCCTAAAGTGGTGTATTGTGTGGCTGAGATTTAATGCTGAAAAATTGATGTGACTTGTCATTAAATCTCAACCACACAATGCACCACTCTAGGAAACTTTAGAGAAAAAAACTTTAGAGGATCCTTACTCCACTGATAAAGTACCTCAGACAATTCAACAGCATCTTCACTGATAAAGTACCTCAGACAATCCAATTTTTCTTTTTTAAATTGAATAAAAAAAAAAAAAAAACCTTTACAAAAAAAAACATATGCAATTCAAATAGATGATCTATTAATATAGCAACAATTTAAACTAATATAGCAACAATTTAAACTCTTTTCCAATACAACATAGAATAACAACAATTTAAACTCTTTTCCAATACAACAATCTATACTATATAGGGAAAAATCAAAGGACAAAACAGGGGAGTAACAGAATAGAGCATAACAGGACAGAGACACTTACTTTTTTCTTTTCTTTTTTAATTATTATTATGAAAACAGAGACACTTACATAGACTCACAAACAACACAAACAACCCTCAATCCACCATAGCTTTCATTTCTTACGCATACCGTGGAAGCAGGTCTCTCCTGTTCCCGGCACGGCCCATTCGCCGCCGCTGTTCTCGCAGAAGATAACCGATGATTCTCTGATAAACCCAGTTCCACACCATCTGGAACCGGTGGCGAATCACTGCCGACTCGCTTGCCAAAAACAGAGCATACAACAGATAGAACACATGTCTGCCATTACCTGGGAAAAGAATGGAAGTCAGAGACACCGAAGAAACCGAACCAAGCAGCACCATTCCACGGCGAATTACGCGAGAATAGGCCGGTAATCGGAGTTTAGCTTCGTAGGCGAAGCAATACAAGATCAGACTAGCAATGGCAACCCAGATGGCCTTTTGGTGCGTTTCGAATGAAGAAACATTTTTTCCTTGAAATTTCAGTTCGATGAAGTCGAGGAGCACCGGAGCGAGGAAGGCGAGGACAGCGTGGCGGGAAGTGGGCGGGGGCCGGCGGTGGTGGTGGGAGAGGTAGAAGGCCCTCCAGCTGAAAAATAAGACATTGATGTTGTTGTGGTTCATGTCTTGGATTTAAGGCCCTGTTTGGCTGATTATGATCTGAAAAAGATGAATAAGAATGAGTTAGAACACAATGAGAAATATCAAATATCAAATGTACAGAGTATAAAATTAAGAAAGAAGGGAAAGGAGAAGGGTATTAGTATTTTTACCAAGTTTATGATTTTCAATGAATGAGGTGTTGTGTGTTTTCTTTTTCTTTTTTTTATAGAGAGTTTGGTGGTACTAGCTAGAGACAATGTAAATTTACTCTTGGGATTCTGGCTATATAGAGAGGGAAATTTTTTTGCATGGGATGATGAAGAAGAGTATAAAAGAGTTCAGGGGGGGCATAGAGACTAAAATGTAAATGGGCGAGGAAACTTTTCCATGGGTGGGACATGGGAGGGTTGAGAGGCTTTTGGTTACTCACTTTTAAATTGGAATATGATGTCAATAGGTTCATTGAGTTCAATGAGTTAGACCACGTTAGATGTCCAACATTTTTGTATTCGCATATGTTGAAAGTCTTTTCAGACAAAGACAGGTTTAGTTATGTGGACGGGTGACAAATTGACAATGAAGAAAAGAGGAAAAAAGGAAGAAATTATCTAAAAAGCTCATGAGTGGAGACTTGGTTAATTAACTGCCTCAATAATATTAAACATTTA